TGCACTGCATTTTCGGCAGGAAAACAATACCAGATGAAGCGTTGTCCAATGGGTCTCAAGACCAGTCCTAGTGTATTCTCAAGGCTCATGACCATAGCAATGGCAGGCCTCAATTATAATAAATGTCTAATTTACTTAGACGATTGCATTGTCCTGGGAAATTCCTTAGAAAATCATAATAAGAATCTTGTTAGCGTTTTGAATCAGTTAAGAAAAGTAAATTTAAAACTCAACCCGCTTAAGTGTGAATTTTTGTGACACGAAATAATTTATTTAGGTCATAAAATCAGTTCAGAAGGTATTTTACCCGACCCAGATAAGATAGCAACGGTTATTAGTTTTCCTAGGCCGACGAACGCTGACGAAATAAAACGGTTTGTAGCCTTCGCAAACTATTATAGGAAATTCATTCGTAACTTTTCAAGTATTGTCTATCCGTTAAATATATTATGTAGAAAAGGTGTTAAATTCGAATGGAACGCTCAATGCGAAACTGCATTTAAAAATTTGCAAATTGCTCTAACTAGTCCACCCGTCCTTGAATATCCAGATTTTTCTGAAAAAAATATTTTCAAATTACAGACGGATGCGTCTAAAATTGGGTTAGGCGCAATATTATCAAATAGTAATGGTAAAGTCGTAGCTTACGCGAGTCGTAACCTGAAACCCGCCGAGAGTAGATACCCCGTTATCGAGTTAGAACTACTTGCAATTGTTTGGGCAGTACGACATTTCCGTCCGTACTTGTATGGTAGGAAATTTAAAATATGCACCGACCATAAACCTTTAATTTATTTATTTAGTTTAAACGACCCTTCAAGTCGATTAACTAAGTTCCGACTTTATCTCGAAGAATATGACTTCGAAGTTGAGTATGTTCCGGGTCGAAATAACGCTGCTGCAGATGCGTTAAGTCGACTCCCGTTAACGTCCAACGATTTCAAGCAAATGCGCGACCATGTGATATCTGTTTTAACAAGAGCTCAGCGACAGCAACTAACGAGCGCTGCCAATGACAGACAGACTACAGAACCTTTCACAGCTTTAAGGTCTGATCAACCTGCGGCTATGGAAGTTCTGAAACGACCTGACGATATTGTAGAATTAATTTTTACTGAAAAATATAATGAAAAATGTCTAATGAATAATGATAACATAATTTCCATGGGAAAGTTATGTACGTTTGTTCCATCGCAATCAGCGATATTTCTATGCTCTCGATCGTTATCGACCGCGCAGGTGTTAGCGAGAGACTTAGAACAGTTATGTCGACATTTACAAATAAAAGAGTTATTAATTGTAAAGAATAAATATAATGAAGAATGTTTAAGACACTTATTACGCGAAATGAAGAGGTTGCAACTTACTTTACCGCGTTTTCTCGTTACCAGAGACGTGTTGAGGATTTTTGATGATGACGATAAAAAAGTTATTTTAAACGACTTTCATTTATTACCTACTAGCGGACACGCAGGGATAAATCGCATGCTCAATAATATAAAGAACTATTACTTCTGGCCAGGACTAACTAATGACGTCAGTAACTTTGTAAAAAAGTGTAGGACTTGCCAAATAAATAAGTTCCATAATAAGAAAGTTAAGGAACCAATGGTAATTACCACAACTGCTAGTTCAGCTTTTCAAAGAATTAGCTTAGATTTAATGGGCCCCTTAGATATAGATAATAATAGTTTTAAGTATATTTTAACAATTCAGTGTGATCTGAGTAAATTTATAGAAGCGTATCCTCTTAGGACGAAGGATACTATTACAGTCTCTAAATGTTTTGTAAATAATTTTGTGCTACGCTATGGCATCCCAAATGAAATAATAACCGACAAAGGGAAAGAGTTTATGTCTTCAGTATTATCGGAAACATGCAAATTATTAGAAGTAAATAAACTAAACTCGACTCCGTATCATCATGAGACTTTAGGATCTTTAGAAAATAGCCATAAACATTTGGGGGCATATTTAAGAATACAATGTGCAAATTACAAAACGGATTGGAGTGATTGGATTCAATTTTGGTGCTTTTCGTATAATACTACAGTACATACCGAAACAAAATACACCCCTTATGAGCTTGTATTTGGAAAACTGTGCAACTTACCTAATAATTTATATAGAACTTTAGATCCATTATATAATTTTGGTAGTTATGTTTTAGAATTAAAGTATCGATTACAAAAAGCACGTTTCGATGCTAAAGAAACTTTATTACAAAGTAAACAGTTACGAAAGGTCTTATTCGATAAGCATTGTAATTCTGTAAAGTATAAAAAAGGTGATTTAATTTTGTTAAAGAACCAAATAGGATCTAAGTTGGATAGACTATATAATGGTCCATTTGAAGTCATAGAAGATGTATCTCCAAATGTGAAAATTAAAAAAGGAAATAAAGAATGTCTTGTCCACAAAAATAATACAAAATTATTTTACGAATAAAGAAACATGCTTGTACAACACTTTTCAAAATGTACTCGTTACAATAAATGTTAGTAATTATTTTCTTATAAATATTGTTTAAAGTAGTTCAAAAATTTTGTTATTTTAAGTTTTTCTTTTTAGTGAGCGGAGGGGTAGCAGTATCTTTTCGGGGGAGGTGAAGTGTGTGTAATAAGCACACACGTAAATGTTAGTGCATAGATACCATACTAAACTGAACTTGTGTTTTTCTCACTGTTTACGTACATAAGTAACTCACGTTATGCTTATTCCGTTAAAATTATGTACAATGTTAATTACAATTGATGTGCGCACTCAATAAACCTCCGTCATACAAGCAACACGTTTTTTTATTTAATACAACAAGAAACCAAAGTATTGGAGCCTCACAGTATTCCTGGATCTCAAAAAAGTATTTGACACCGTTTCTGTGTCTATTTTAAAGGAAAGGCTTGAAGAAATTGGGATTAGAGATACTGCACTCTCTTTGTTCAAAAATTACCTAAGTGAAAGAAAACAAATAGTCAAAATTGATAAATTCAAAAGTGATGAAGAAAGTGTTACGCATGGAGTTCCTCAAGGCAGTGTCCTTGGACCGACACTTTTCTTAGTTTATATAAATGATTTGTGTAGACTGGGAAATACTGTCGGTCGTGTTTTCTGCTACGCGGATGATACTGCTCTCGTATTCTCTGGGCGTTCTTGGGACGATGTAAAAGTCATTGCTGAATCAGGTTTAGTAGAAGTGTTTAACTGGCTTAATGTAAATCTGTTAACTCTCAATACCGCTAAAACAAATTATATATGCTTTACCCCTAGCCAGAGATCGCAACCACCAGAAAACTTTTATATTAAAATACATGGATGTATAAATAACCCAAATCAAATAGACTGTAACTGCCCACGAATCTTGAAAGTAACTAATACTAAGTACCTCGGAATTTCAGTAGATGAAAGGTTATCATGGCATTCACATATTGACTTGGTTAATGAACGAATTAGGAAACTTAAATGGATATTTAAATCATTGCGGCATGTTATGTCTACTGCACTTTTAAATAAAATCTATACTGCCTTAGTTCAATCTGTGATAACTTATTGCATTCCTATATGGGGAGGAGCTACAAAATGTAAATTGCTGGAGCTTGAAAGGGCTCAAAGGTCACTCTTAAAGATAATGTACTTTAAGCCTTTTAGATTCCCAACAGTGAACCTCTATAGGTTATGTAGCCTGCTATCAATCAGACAATTGTACATATTACATACAACGCTACAACTGCATAAAAGCCTGCCTTACGATCCCACTTGGATCTCTAGAAGAAGGAAAAATATCTTAATTCATCAACCAACGATTCGCACAGAATTTGCCAGACGTCAATACCCCAGTCAAAGCGTTTCTATCTATAACTGTATTAACAATAAATTAGACAAAAATATATATCCAATGTTGACATTTAAATGCAAAAAAATGTTAACTGAGTGGCTTATCTTGATCAGAATAGTATAGGATTTAAATTACTGATTTTTCTGACTCGATAGGCTAATAATCTGTTTAAACACAAATTAATTCATAAATGTATAAAACACACACACATATACACATACTCACACACACACACACACACACACACACACACACACACACACACACATGCACGCACAAAGAGAGAGAGAGACAAACAAAGACACGCGCACGTACGCACGTAATACTCTCACTCACTTATTTATTCCGAGATTGTTACTGGTTTAGGCTAAGAGCGAGGCATCCCAACACAAGTATAATAATTACTTTCTGGGATTGCCTCAATAAATTAAAACACGTATGTATTTGGAAATAAAATCAATTTTTATTTATTATTATTTTTTTTTTAAGGTTTACCAACGTTCGTGTTCAATATTACATACATTCTAGTTACAATAAATTTTATGTTAAATAGCTTATTGTCACAATTACAATTAGTTTACTTATAGGTAAACACAACATACCCTAGATCATAGAGTAAATAAGAAACTACACTTTTACATTAGAATATGAGAAAAGGAGTTACATATTCATTTATATCAATTAATTATTTAAAAAAGAAAAACATGATCAGACTATTTCACTTATGTAAAAAAATTAATTCCACATTAATTCCATCATCATATGTGAGTAGCTTTTAAGAAAGGACGTATTTCTTGAAGGCATGCTCCTGATCACAATGGGAAAATGTCTTATTACCACTTTAAAAAGATTACGATTAAATTGGGAATAATACTTTTTTTAAATTGAAGTACTAATAATAATAATAAAAACTATTATAATTATCAAAGCAAAAAAAATAAAATTTTTGTGAAAATGCCTTTGGGTGTTAAAATTTGGACAAAAGATTTACATTTACTATTAGGATTTCATTCGATATATTGGTTAATCGATATCGATATCAGTGTTTCATTCATATTGAATATTGCGATATTTTTGATTTCGATATATCGAAATATATTGGTTTTCCGATTTATCAATCGTTGCACCCAAAGAGAAAAATAATACAGTGGTTGCATGTTGCATCCTTACTCTTTGCTGATAACTAACCTGTGCAACTAACTGAGCTAGATAGATTCGAAATAAAAATCCTTTACCTGCTTAGTTTAATTTGATTCAATCGTTTTCCACTTTGTCGGATTAGCCGGCCTGTGTGTGGTATCCGTGGAGAAGAAATGGTTAAAACGTTGTCGCCATATTAAGAAATCAAGATGTCTAAAATTTTTACACCCACCAATCAAATAAGATTGACAAATGTCGCTATAGTAAGATTGAAGAAGGGAGGCAAAAGATTTGAAATAGCTTGTTATAGAAACAAAGTAGTCTCATGGAGGAATAAATTGTAAGTGCCGTATAATTTCTAGTGTCCAAAAGTTTGATTTATAGGCCTGTGTATTAATTTGCCTAAGTTATTTTATTGTTGAAAAGCACAAATTATTCCTAAGTAAAAGTAAAAATATAGAATTTTAACAGTAAAAGTACTTAGAGATCCTGAAGTGAACCCAATAATATTTTTTAAATCTATTTATGTAGATGAGAATGATTGTATACTTCAAAAAGTATAAGGTGTAAGTTTTTAAAAATAAAGGTTTGGAACATCTCATTTATTTGCATTATTTTCTTTTTTAGAGAAAAGGATATTGATGAAGTATTACAAACACACACAGTTTTTACTAATGTTTCTAAAGGTCAAGTAGCAAAAAAGGAAGATTTAGTAAAAGTATTTGGCAAAGATGATCAAACAGAAATATGTAAAGAGATTTTGGATAAGGGGGAATTACAAGTGTCTGACAAAGAAAGACAATCACAAATTGAATCTTTATTTAAAGATATAGCAACCACTGTAGCTGATAAATGTGTAAATCCGGAAACTAAAAGGCCATATCCTGTTTCTATTATTGAGAAAGCTATGAAAGACATACATTTTTCTGTGAATGTTAATAGAAACGCTAAACAACAAGCTCTAGACGTCATTCAGTTGTTAAAAAAAGAAATTCCATTGGAAAGAGCACAAATGAGGATTAGGATAATTTTGACTGGAAAAGATGCAAGAAAAACCAAAGAAAAAGTTGTCAAATTTGCTATGAGTGTTGAAGAAGAAAATTGGGATTCAGGCACAGCTAATATAATATGTTTGATTGACCCTGGTAACTTCAGAAACTTAGATGAAATCATCAGAACAGAAACTAAAGGAAGTGGTCAACTTGAATTACTTAATTTGAAAGAGATGATTGAAGGCGATCAAGCATTGTAAAAATAATAAAGTTATTGGTAATTGCATTATTTGGTCTAATATTTTAATAATATTCCAAAATAATAATAATATTTAAAAAATAAAATTAATAAGGGATTATTATGGGTATCCTATTAGCATAGAGAATTTATTTTATCTAATTTGTAATGCCATAGATTTACTTTAAATAGTGAATAATCTCCACAAATTGTTAATGTGCTTGGCTTCCATTTTGGTGAATAGTGTTCAACAATCAGTACCGTTAAAAATGAACACTGGTTGACAATTATTATTGTTAAGTTTTTTTGTTACTTGTTATAGTTAATTTAAAAAGTTGCTGTTATGATTTCCACAAGAAGTTAATTTTATTTCATTTAAAAATAAATTTATATAATTTCTAACATTTTTGGGTGACGTTTTAAAAATTGTCCTTTCCGGTTATCGCGTTATTACAAAGTACATGTTATTTCTTTCCATACACCTACATTTCGATATATTATAAGCACACTATATATATATTTAATGGGAATCTGTTCTATTTTCGATAAAAATATAGCGCAAAAAACGCTGATGTATGTAATGGCGCTGATCACATGGTATTTGGTCACACGCCAGTAAATATGTCAAGGCGCATAACTTATTTATCAATTATTAATTTACAAAGTAAACAAAAGTAACATTAGAGAAATTAAAGTTAAATATTATGTTTTCATATTTGTATCTGCTCTGGTTTCGTTATTCTAAATAAGCTACAAATTGGATGTAAAAAATTTGCATATCTTTATTAACACAACTTGGGAACTTCTGTTTACGTGTGACGCATAGAGGAATAATATAGGTGTGACGTCAGTCGCCGGCAAACAGTACTTTCAACGTACCTATTTATTGGTTACGACAACCGATGAGGAAGTGTTAAAAAAAAGAAAGCAAAAGCACCTCACTAGATGGCGACTATAGCAAAAGTTGATTTTTGCTGGAAACGAATGGACCAAAGGAAGTAATTTCTATTCCTATAAAAAAACATATATAAAAATTGAAATTTGCAAAGTTCGAAACTTAGATATCAATACAAAAAACGAAAAAGTACAAATAGAATATGAGTTGTTTATTGAGTTTTGAAAACTAGTTTACTTTTATATATGAAAGAAAACCGGAAGAGTTGTCATAGAGAAATTAAAAACGTACCATAGCGACGTCTAGTTAGATTTCGAGTTTTTTTTTTTTAACTTCATTGCAGGGCGTTTTCGTCTTTCATTAGTAAATGATGCATTTTCTTTACGTTATTTTACTAGAGCTGATAAGTAAGGCTGATTTTGTCGGCAGATTCTAAGAAATAAACTTTATTAGATTATTATAACAGGATAACCACAACATGCAACTTATTTTCAATAGTATCATAACAAGGCATCGCAGTATAGACATATCGAAGAAAGGTTGGTGATGAAACAAAATTCGATGTAATGTTTGTCGCATTTGCGCAGAAAACCCGTATCAAATACCCTATTATGACATACATAGTTTAGCACAGGAATGGGATTCCTGGGTTTTTCATCTTTGAAGCATTTTAGATTGTCGCATTTTTATAAGAATCTGTAGTTAGTACAGTACAATCGTTCAAAACGACTAAAATGCAATAACACGCTGAGAGTAACTGCAAAAAAAAAATTACTGTGTTAATGAATGCCTAAGTACACAATAAAAAGGGTGCATGAGAAATGCAATAATTTAAGCAGTATACTAACAGCCAGTTGCACACACTTTCATTAAAATTGTCATCTGCAAATTATACTGCCTTGCACAAATTCTTCGTAAAATGAGAATTATTATTAATGTAAATTGGACAAGACTATCCCAAGCATCATAGATATGTCTTAGAAGTCAATTCCAGCGTCTGTGGTACATTTACCTCAGCTAAAACCAAACTGATTTTTGTGAAGTAATTTATTATACGTCATCGACGTCATTTGAAAATAGAAAGTATAGATAGCACAAATGCAAGAGATAAGTTATTTATTAATTTTCGAAATATTTTTAAATAATTCTCTAATGTTGTTATTATAAATTAAAAAAATTTAGTCTATTATAGTTTTAAATTCACTTTGTCCCTGTCACTATGACAAGACTCGAACCCATAACCTTTCGCAATCTGACTGCTCTAACCACTAAAAATTAGTTCTTGAAATCATACTAGATGTCACTCGCGATTTGGATATTGTCTATGATATTCATTCAAATTTTGTTTTTGACGTAATAAAAGAAATTTGAGTATCAAAAATTAATAAATATGACATCGTTTCGTGTTTCTAATAGTATCTACCTTTCAAATTAATTTTAATTTATTTGAATCGTTTGTTTAAGTTACTAATTATGTTACGTGTAAAGGAACGATGTTTGGCTTATAGGTATGTCAACATTAGTGATGAGCCAACTTATTATTTGCTCGTAACTTCTATTGATTCGATCCATCTGAATTCAGGTATGGAATCAATTCAGTATCCTTGTTTTTTATGTACCATATTTCCATATGTGCCATTATGCATCCACACGTCGAATTACATGAATATAAATAACAAAATCAATTCAGTCATGGCTGTTGCATAACACTTGTGAAACTCAAAAACTTTGCCTACGATTCGCAAAACTATGGCGGAATTTCTTGTACTGAGAAAAACCGGCGAAAAACTTAGCAAAGGCTGCTTTTTTCTCCTTGTTTTATTTCACACAGAGAAGTCTTATTGGAATGTGACTTAATTAGACTATGAAGTCACTTTTCATTATAATATCAGAAATCCTACATACTCATTGACAAATCAATATAAAATATCCATAATAAAAGAAAATGGACAAAATCAAGTTGTCCAGTGCAGAATCACCCCAACTGGTACCAGTCCGCCGTCGACAAGTTCAGTAGCGATAGTATTATAATAACTGTATGTGTCTTTGTGATTTTTAAATTTAAGTTTGAACCTTGCTGTTCGATTAGAACGGACGTTTCTTGTTGATTGCAGAATTTTTATTAAAATAATTTAATTATGAATATAAGATTTAATAACTGATCATAGCTTTACTTTTAAATTTTAATTACGAAAACTGAAAAAATACAGTTATAACTTTATTAAACATAGCAGTTTGAGCTCCAATAACTTAAAAGCTATTATACCGACATTCAATATTACAAGAATGGGTTTGGTAAGGGGTGTTCCCACGGAATGGTCTTTAGAAGAAGTGAAGTCTAATATTTCGGTTCTTATAGGTTGTGGAGAATTTTAAAAGTTAGAAGATTAAACTACAAAGTATTCATAGATGGATCTCCTACATGAAAACCTTTGTCTCCTACATGCTTACGTTCGACGGTCAAATTTTTCCAAAACGAATTTTTATATGTTATAATTCAATAAGTGTTGATTTATATATATACCCAACCATTCAATGTTATAACTGCTGCCGTTTCGGACATACAAAAATGCAGTGTAGATCAATATTGCGATCAAATTTGCGTATTAAATGTGGATAAGAACACAGTGGTGAGTCATGTTCAGTATCAGAGGATCTTGCTTTTTGTTGTTAACGTTCAGGACATCGCTTTGCAAATAATAAATCTTGCCCCGAGTTCATAAGACAATCACAAATTAAATTGTATATGGCCCAAAAATTGTGTTTCATACAGTGAAGCATAAAAATTGCACCCTCCAGTAAGTAAATCTTTCGTTGACGTTGTATCCAATTCTTTTTATAATCAAAAGGAAACATCTTTCAAAATTATGTACATATATCTTCCTTCTCTTAATTCCTAAGCCTTCTGAACCTATCCCATAAAAATTCCGTTCCAACTTCTGTTTCCTTTACCCAAACTTTGATAAGGCTAAACACAAACAGTGAAAGCCAAATAAAAAAAAGGAGAACCTTAAGTCCGGCGTCCACTAGCAGCACACCGATTCGAGTAGAAAAATTTGACCCGACTGGAGTCGATTCTGAGCGTTGTTTGTTGCCAATGGACGTGGGATTCCTCGTAAACGTATAAAGATACTATGTATTGTGATTCAATTTTGTGCGCCTAATGGACGAGGCATTTTTTACTGAATTTTTATGCACTGTACATGTGTAATGCAAAGCAGCTATTGTTTGCTTCATTAAGAAATATACTGAAAACCGGTGTTGAATCGCTACGTGAAACGGAACGTGGAAGTGAATGTACTCATCAAAATGACAAATTAAAAAGTTTTATTTTTCTTATATTGGTACGAGATTTTATTGATTGTTTTCTTTCATAAAAGATTTTTGGCCAGACGGCGACTGAAATTGCAAGTTACTGTGATATATTTATTTTCGTTATTTAACTATTCTTATCAACCAATTAAATGAGCAGGGATATCGAGTTATGTCTATAAGTAATGGAAGGTACAGAACTGGGTGGCGACCAGCAATTCTGTTTGAGATGGAACAATTTTCAAGCAAATATAACTTCTCAATTCGAGGCACTGCGCGATGATGAGGACTTCGTGGACGTCACCCTGGCTTGCGAAGGTCACAGACTGGAGGCGCATAAAGTGGTTCTTTCTGCGTGTAGTCCTTATTTTAAGGAATTATTCAAAGTAAGTGTATCTTTCACTCCCCACACTTTGATGTGTCACCATTACAATGACTCTAGTGAAAGTTGTTATGTATAAAACACTTGATCTACTTACAAATGCCATGTCTCGCGTTCCGGTTAAGTACTCGTGATTTCATTTATTTGTACCTACTTTAAAATTCTGTTTTAAAATTTCTAATTGACTCATTATCATTGCCACTATAGATTTCAGCTAGTGAATTCCTCATACTATGACCATTAAACACTATGTAGTTTATATTATATGGTAGCTTATTTATGATTGCATTCATTTTGATGTTGTATATAGCTAATACATTTAAATATGATTATGGGATGTTGCTTTTTAAAGCAAATTAAAATAAAGAATCATTGAAAATGTCACTAAAATAAATTGTTTTTGTTATAAATCTACTTAAAAATTAAATCTGTAGTGTTATCATTTCATAATTATCATCATGGTGTTACATTAATTATGATTTTTATGTCATGTCTATTGAAAATTGCCTTACATATATCAATTTAGACTTCTCATTTAAAACTTGTTTTTGAGTAATTAAAATGGGAACATAATGTTAAAATGTTGTATTTAAATATCATAAAAATATTTGTATATCACATACAAATATGAATTTTAGTTGGCCCCCAAATGTTAATTGTTTTAATCATCTAGACCACCCCATTCTTTAGAACAGCTATTATAAAGTGGGTAGACTATTTTAGTGACTGAATTGCAAACATGAATTATTATTGTCAAGCTAAGTTCATTAAAAATACAGTATTCTAAACTATCAATTAAAAGTTGGGTTTCTGATGGTTTTTGTTGAGTTGTGGTTATTTCATAAGGCACAGAGCAAACCATCATATTATTTTATTCATAACAAAGAAGTTATGTTTATATTTTCATCACTCACCAAAAATTTTAAGAATCATTGTTTTAAATGTTGTGTATTTGAGATAAGCTATCAGATTAACATTATTATATAGCATGGTATATTAGCATGGTCACTTAACAGAAAGAATTTCATACAATGATCTGGCATTACATATCTCTTTCACCCGTGAGCTAACATATTGCTGTAGCACTCGCCCAGATGCATCTAGCCAATTTTGTTGTAAAGTGAAGCTAAACTTTTTATGATATCTATCAATTGGAACAAAGGTCAACAAACACAATAGTTTCTGTTCAGCAACCATGCTATACTCCAAAAATTTAATTTAAAATGTTTACCTAATTTTGTTCTGTAAATTATAATAATTGACAATATATTAAAATATTCCGAAGATACAAATTAAATAGATATGATTCACACTCAAATATTCAGTTATGGTATTCTGATCAGCAATTAGCCAACTCACTATGACTATGTAATTAATATTCCATTAATCAACTGGTCTCATTGAAAATATTCAGAGCAATTTAAATTACAAATGGATGTGATTGAAAGTTAATTAACTTTTGTTGGGATCCATTAATGTTGTAATATTTTACCAGTCTTTTATTTCTGACTTTGTTTCCAATATTTTTTTTAACATTATTGTTAAATATAAATATAATTTGTATGATTAGAAGCTTGCAGACTTCTAACACATACTATGGTAGAATGCTAATTATATAAACAAAGGGAAATACAAAATTTAATATTATTAAAAAAACTTACAATTTTATCAGAAAATATAGTCTGCATTGAAATTAGTTTTTGGTCAATATGATGATCTTATATGATCAAAAATATTGGAAAAAGGAACAAAAGTACATTTATATACAATGTTGTTATGGTTTTAAAAACTAACTTTTTTAAAATTCACCATGTAATATTTTAAGTCAACAATTACTTTGCTTACACTCTTTCGTTTTACTGAACTTATTTGTTCAGAGATTCCCAAACTATTTTTGGCAAGAGAAGCTATTTCCAAAATCAAATGATACTTCAACCCCCCTTTGCCAAATTAACAATCCATATCCATAGTTTTTCATATTGATATAAAATATTTAACATTTCCAAAATTTTGCAGTTAATTAAGAGATAATAGGTGAACACATCAATTTCTTATTTACATAACAAATAGATATAAAAATTAGTCAATATAAACTTTAATTCAATATAGTCTATAGGCTGTAGTTTTCATTGTCTTGGTCATATTGATGCAAATGGCTTTAGTGCATATTGAGCATATTTTAACAGAAAATAACTTATATCAGCTTCAGTAGAAACTAGTTACCTTTCTTTCTGTAGAATAATATTTTATAAAATATAGAACTACAATTATGGTACTGGCAATAGGGAGTTGAGTTGTTCCTGCTGTCAGATATAGCAGTCATATTGGTTTCAGAACAATCCATGTCCTCACCCGATAATATTCATGCGCGACTGCGAAGTGTCTCATGTGCGCGCCCTCCTACAGTTTATGTACGTGGGTCAAGTGAACATTGCCCAGGCGCAACTCAGCGCCTTCCTGCGTACCGCCGATGCTTTGCAGATTCGAGGCCTGACAGACTGCTCACAGCACAACGAAAAAGTAAGAAAATCTTGAAAATTTACCTGTATTTTTGGGTAATTATTGTGTTGAGGCTTACAACAGTCATTACATTTACGAGACTAGACAAAGAATAAAATAAGGTTCCTCAATTATAGGTAGGTAAACAGAAAGTGTAAGGTGTTCTTTTTATACAATCAGATACTTGTCTCTACAAATGGACAACAACTTGGAATAGTTCATATAAAAAACTTCACTTCTAAGTTCCACTTTCAAAATTCAATTTGTCTGTCACTATACAATATACAAATACAGAGCCTATAAAATAAGTACAAAGCTGGTTTCTGAATTGAGAAAAGTATTTATTTAATATGGACAACCATCAGCATATTATACAACATACTTCAATTAATTACAATTAGGTTAAAACCTTATAAATATATACTGATTTTTTGGTTGTAACAACATTTTTAATATATTAAGAACAAAGTGTCAACTGTATACAATAACTTTTTTATTTTTCACAAGGCAAAGAGTCCAAGTCTTATCAAACTGCTATCAATTAATCATTAAAAAACTAAAATCAGAAACAAAGAAAACCTGTTGCAGTGATGTTTAAGTACAATTTGAGATGTGCTAAACTTTAAATGCTATATAAGTATATAAGATAAATGCCAAGCCATTCAACCAGTTGTCCTATACGTTTTATTTAAAAATGATATTTAACTATAGTTTATTTTTTATTTGCTATAAAGTGGCAAGGTACCAAATGTTAGTTTAGTCCATCTAATTAAAAATCGGACTTTAGAATCACATAAATTGGTTTGCGGAAAGATGCAATAATTTTATTGATTTGTTTTGATAAATGTAATATTATTTAAATGATGAATCACAAAAACATTGTTGAAGACATTTAAGAAATAATCTAGGAATCTACAAAATATGGAGAATTATTCTTGTAAGTAAATACTCTTTAACATAGTCTCTCAAGAAAAATAGATTTCAGTCAATGGTTCCTCATGTGTTCATAAGTTTTAAGACGAAGAAAAGTTGCGTAAGGTTTTTTTATAATTAACTTATTTTTCTAAAATTTCAGTTACCATTTAATAGATAATAATCAACAATGAAATATATATTTCATTCAAAATGACAGCGCTTGCTTTTAATACAGGCCCTTAGACGATTTGGCCAGTCATCAATGGTAGCACGAATCTTTTCTAGTGTAATTCGGTTTGCTTCTCGAACAAAGGTTCGCTTCAGTGACTTCATGTTTGGGAGGGACTTTCGGCAGGCCCTGAACTCTAATTCAGTCCATAAAGAATAATCCAGCGAGTTGAGGTCGGGCCTGGAGGAGGGCCACTTGTCCAAGCTTGGGTGCTTTTTGCCTTATGGGATGGCGCTGAGTCTTGGTGAAAAACCCAATCTTTATTGTGAAATAACGTATCATACAGGGGTTTAAAAATGTCACTCTGATAATTCTTGACTTTCACCTGGTCACCTTGTTGGCAGAAATGGAGTGGAGTGACACCTTCATACGAAACTTCCTACCATACCATCACACTAACCGGATGATTGCTATTTTAAGCGTACACTTTATTGTTTTGTCGGTTGAACCTTTCATCGACAATAAAAATTTTCTCCTCAGCAGCAATGGACAACGTTCGCGTCGTAACTTACGAAGACAATCGTTTAAAGAGTGAACTTTTCTACGGATATAGGCCTTTACCTTAAGATCATATTTCAGTATTATGTTCGCTGAAACGCGCGAAATATTAATCTCCAAAGCGAGTTTCTTCTGAGTGCGTCATGGATTTCGACGAAGTCGCTTTCGGATGCTTTTGATGTTCGCAGGCGTCCTCACAGAGCGTGGTCGACCATTCCTTTGGCGATCTTGCAGATAACTTGTCTCTTTGTACCGTTCTATTGTATAATAGACGAAGTTACGACTTACAGGAAAACTATTCAGCTCGCGGAAAATCTACATCGGTTTTTTTCCGCCTTAAATAGCGAAATGTCAGTTGCACGTAGTAGTTTCATTCCCTCCATCATGAGAAAATATAAACAAATGAATTTGCCATACAAATAAACTAAAAGTTAACATTCCAAATTCAAAATCGGTAAAAAAAAATTTTTTTCAGTAAAAAGTTTGTTTCAAAACTTATGAACACACGAGGTATGTCCGTATCTTATTTTTAATAAGAGAGTAAATGAATAATTTAAATAAAAAAAATAGGATTGTCCTTTTTTTCTCTCTGTTTTACATGCAGGCAATGCAACCGCATTAAAATTTTATTTTAATCAGAATAAACAGCTGCTTTAGACGACATAAAAAGGCGAAAATAAAAGTTTAACTCGTGATGCCTAAATATCGAAGTAGTCTATCGTATTTTTGCGCGAATTGGTGGTAACTTTCACCACGCAGCGGGAGCACGATCGCGATTAAAGGAGAACTGACGTCACGCATTACTCACTCGCAAATATAATAAAAATATTAGTGTCATTTAAAATGAATCGTATTTTAGATTTAATTTGAATTAGTCAAAATCATATCACAAGTTATAATCTGACTTAACTGTTTAGTTTAAATTCTTAACTTGTTTCTGAATAATTAATAACTTTTTCCTCTTGCAGAAAGTGAACCGTAAATCTCCTCCTTCCCAACTGCGTAATTTGCTAAGCGCAAAGCCGTCACATTCTACCTCTTCTTCCAAAGCCGCAAGCCAAAATGTTGAGTCGACATCTGTTGAAGAACAAGATAAGACCGCGACTCGCCGTTCCGCTAGAAATTCTCCCGAAGTTGCCAGAAATAATCTCAACGAAGAAGCTCCCATTCAAACTTCTAGTCAAATGAGGCCTAATAATGATGACTATAGCGAAACTTGCAATTACCCTTCCGTAAGGGTGAAAACTGATCTCGAAGCGCTCGAAGTAAAAAATGAAGAGAGTGACATTCTTATGGACCCCGGCGATGGTGATAGGCCAGATAAATGTCAACAAGATTTTAACGCGTCTGATCTCTTGGAACCTAAAATGGAAGTCATGGAACAGGAGGCTAGCGACGACGAACGTTCCAATTTTCCTCCAATTTATTATGAAAACAATGCGCTCGCTAATCCCTTTGCTGCTTTGCAAGGTAAAAAGTATTATAAAATATTCATAAAATTAGGATAGGAAACAGTTCACCGCAACTTTACTTTTTATGCAGGAAATGTGGATCTCATGGGCGGAATGAACGCCGAGCTCCGGGACGACAGCGCCGAAGGTGAATATTCATAAACTTTTTTCTTACATTCACTTCATTGTCACACGCACACGTCGACTCGGACAGCCGCGCCCCCGGCGAACCTTTATAGAAATATTAGTTTCGGTCGTTTCCTATAAGAGAGCGCGCGCAGTCGTATGTATGTTTTGGTGGCTAGGCGCGCGGGTGTCGTGGCGACGCCGCCCTCGGCCCGCCGCTCGTACTCCCGCCTAATAGATACGGATCTCACCCTCGAAACTGACCGCGACCGAGCCGACCAGTTTCAAATGCTAATCGGAAGCTACCCGAAACGGCGATGCGCGACCCATAGAAAAGCTGCAATAAACCGGCCGACGGAACACGGGTCGAGTTTTTGATACTTATCTCCGAATACCGGTAAATTGAATTCTGTCAATCAGAACACTCGTTGAATTCAATGAAATGATCGGAATATTGGCGAAAGGGACAGTAGCGAGACTGGCCGTAGCATTTGAACCCGGTCACGGTTCGGGCCGGGCGGACGGGGCGAGCGGCGAGCGTAGCGGGCAGTGCGAACGTGGTGTTGTTGGCAGCGGGCGGCACGAGCGGCGGGGGCGTGGGCGGGGGAGTGCAGTGCGCGCTGTGCGGTCGCCGGTACAGCAACGCGTCCAACCTGCGCCAGCACGTGCGGCTCATCCACGAGGCGCAGCCCGTGGCGTGCGCCACCTGCGGCCGCAGCTTCAAGACGCCGCTGTACCTGCGCCGGCACACGCTGGCCCAGCACCCCCCGCGGCACAGCAAGCCGCCGCCGCCGCCGCTGCCCGCCCTCAAGCCGCCGCCGCCGGTGGCGATGCCCGCGCTGCGGCCCGCCCACCGGTTCCAACAGTAGGCGACGCCGACTCACGCGCTCTCTTACTCGCGCTCGACGCTCGACGCTCGACCCACCGCGCCGAGGAGGTGTCGCGATGCGTACTCGAGCACGTGCCATACGCGACCGCCCGAATTTTGAGCTCGAGCGGTTCGCTCCCGCTTCCAAACCCACCGTTCGAAAAGTGCCGTTTTCGGATTCTATGCCGAGATACTCGTCGCGGTGACTTCCGGCGGCGGCGTAGTGATGATGTGGCTTATAAAGTTGTAACGAAGACTGTCAATAAATTTATTATCTAGTCTGTGATCGGAGTGTCGCCGGGGGCCTGTTTGCCGTCACACCTCTCCGCTTATTGCGTGCCTTTTAATAAATATACAGAATACCAGATGTCCTACCCTTCCTTTTGACGAGATTTTTTTACCATTACCGAGTTTGATTTTTCACAGTCCATCGAGAATTGTGATTAATACTCCAGACAAGTCCAATATTTTTTATCCATGGGGTAATAATTACTCAGTCGGGAAAACACGTTGTAGTCACATACGCGTCACCTTTCTTAGTCATCCCTATGATGGTTTTCGTTGTAAATGACAAATGGAGTCTCGTTAAAGGGAACACAGGCTACTTTCCTTCTTGACAATAGACTGATTGTTGTTGAGCATTTGTTGCAAACCGGTGCTGATTTACATAACATAGGTTATTTACTGATTACATACATAGTATTGTACATACACACATACATTATACACGTTATCCACACAACGATCGCCACTTTTCTACGCATTTCTAGTCTTAAATGATAAACCGTATTTTCATAGAAGAATATAATTATTTTGTATCTCAAAATGCGTTGGAGAGCGACGATCGCGACCGTTTTATTTGTCAATACGCGAACTTGTGTACCAAATTACTGGTTTCATAATTCGCGGCGCAGCTACAATAATGATATTTTTATACAGAATAGTTTTATCTTTACACGATGTTATATTGTTGAGTGATTGGACGGCTCCCGGTTAGTGTGTACAAAGCCAAGATGTATCATACATCTTCGTAATCATAAATATTAATCAATAATTATGAACATAATATTGATTATGAGTTATCAGTTTTGAGTACACGCCCGCAATCCTTCGAGAATGTGTACTTTTAGATTTGTTTAGTTACTTTTTTCTTTAATGTAATGATAAATTAGTATTTATCTTTCGATGGTTGATTTCTTCTAGGTTTAATTATATTTAAAAAAAAAAATGCCACAAAAAAGCATCTAGTCATTACGACAAAATTAAAGAAGGACACGTTGTTGAAAGTATGATTAGGGTTGTGAATAACAATATTAGTTTATCTTTTGAAAATTAAATGTAATGAAAACTAATTGTCTGAAAATCGTGTGATCTCAAAATGTTTCCGTGATCTCTAAAGAAATTAAACGCATTACGCATTTATTTCGATCTGTGTTAGTCATAAAATTACGGTTGGAAGTTAATTGCAATAATAATTAATCTTAAAATAATCGCTTATACGTATTAGTAATTGTAATTTGATGAAAATACACTTTGGAATTTACTTAAAAATATTTTTAGTCCATTGATAAGTTAAGGCGCAGCTTTTTGAATATATATAAAATAAATTAAAAAAAAAAATGTAATTTGTATAGAAGAATAACTGAAGTAATAACTTGACACTTTCTGAACTTTAACTTAAGAAATTTATTAAATATAATAGAATTTTATCATAGCGATAATAATATCTACAAAAACATACATAATAGTGTTTTATTTTATATTGAAAAACAACAGTTAACAGTTTGCTCTATCGGTATATTTCCTTTCTATATATTTTACTTATACAATTAATTTTAAGGGATATAACTGTTGTTATGTTATTATGAACGGATCATTACCCATTATTCATTTTTACACTTTCAATGTTCACTGTTATATAAAGTTGCTTATTTATTTATAATTTTTTATCTCAAGTGTCCATAATCATGATTATATATAACGATATTTATATTTTTTGTGCATTAATTTGCGCAGGATTTCAAATGTATGTACATAAATCATTGTAATTTTTTTACTAAATACAAAAATAAAGTATTATAAAAATAATTGGATTTTTCGTCTCCAATACGGTTTTGAGTTAATACTTAATGTTAACATTCATAGTTTATTAACACAGGATTTAAAAAGTGCTGGTATAAAATATTTTATTAATTTTTGATTTAGTCATAGATAATGGAGTATTATAGGCAGACAGTACATTGCTTCCTTTTTCAATGATATTGTAAAGTAATCAATCAACTTCTTGTGTCGTTTCATCAAAGATATAATTTTATAAATGAAGCCATTGACACAAATAAATATAAATTTATATTAATTGATTATACTGAAGTCCAAAAAATATTACAAAGAAATTTACTGAATATCAATGGTGATCTTTTTGACATTTTTTTTTTCATATTTTATTTCACGATCTTCCTAGCCGAGTGGTTCGCACGCCGGTTTCTAGGTGCCGCCAAATCTGAGGTATCAGTTTCATATCCCGGTCGAGTCAATGTAGAAAATGAACTTTTCTATATTATCTCGGGTCTGGGTGTAGTGGTACCTTAGTTGTCTCAGATACTCCATAATACGGGGGCTTAAGATACTCATCTTGAAATCTGAGCATGTATGTGATATTTTCTAATATTTATTTATTTGATTATTAAATATTACATTGGTGCAATTTGGAGACCCCTCTACACATTAGTCCGCTATAGTGTCTCGGGTCTGGGTGTTGTGGTGCCTTCGTTGTCTCAGATACTCCATAATATATGGGCTTTAGCTACTAGCTAGTCAGTGTATGTGATGTCTAATATTAATTTATTTTATATAATATATTGGTGCTATAAGAGCTGCACGATGTCTTATATAGACTCTAGGGTTGGTGTATTCTTTTATTGTTGTTATTATTTTGTTTTTGTGTGACGTAGCGAGCCGGTGGGATGGACGTCGTAACAGGCCCGTGCCGGACGCGGTCTGGCTCGAACAACATCGACGAGCTCTACCGTTCGTGCTCAAGCGGGAAAATGAACGGGGTGCCTCCGCGCCCAGGCTTGTGAGTATATTTAACAACATAAAAAATATATTAAAAATTGTGGTCACCCTATATGATAATAGGGTAATAAATAACACATTTCACTTTATTTTAAACGAAATAATAAAAATTAAATCTTTTTGACATTTTATATCAGATGAAAACTTGTGAATGTTTGCAACTCCAATGACATCATACGCTTGTAAATATTGCTTCCTGTTGACAATTGTAGTTTTATGAGGTTTGTTTGTCTACCTACGACGTCATTCGCGGCGCAATAGCGGTGTATGACAGCGTTTTTCGCGCGGTTTTGGAAATTTAAACTTTATCTTTGATTTTTATTAATAAATACAGTAAATAACCCCGAAATATTAATGTAATGTGGACTAATTTAAATAATTTGTACTTAAATAAAACTAATTTATCAATATTATAAATATTTTTAAATATATCTAAAAACGTCCAGCTACCAAATTACTCCTCCGATTACGGAATATACTTACACTATCCCATTCTAGCTAACTTAGCGATTGATACCTCTTCAGAATTATTTCTAGGTGCCGAACAATTGTTTGTCACTCTCCTGCTATCTCCACGCAAAAAAAAAAATATATTAAAACGGCTTCCATTGCAACGCAAAGAAAGACAAATAAAACGCACTTTCCCATTAATAATTTTAGTATGGATAGCATGAAGCAAGAAACATAAAGGGCAGCGGAAAGTGACTTTGTCTTATACTATGTATAGATGTTCCAAATTACTTTTTTTGCTATTTACCAGTATTTTGAGTTGTTGTAGGTAATCTTTTGTAGGATTTTATTGATATTATCTTTTAATGTGTCTTTCCCATAAAGATATCTTTTAAATCCATGATACTCTGTATTCGATTTGTATACTGCAGGTATAATATGGTATACTACAGGTATAATATTGTATATTACAGGTATAATATATACCTGTAATTATGTGCCTTAACACCGGTTTCATAGATCGTTGAGACCATTTCAATTCCCGCTAGAGTCAATATATCAATTTTGTTGTACTTTCATAAGTAAAACTGGTTGGCGAAATAAATAAAAAAATATATATTTTACATATCATTTTACAACTCTA